GCTGAGTGACTGGGAGGCATGAGTGATGGTGAGGTCTGCCCGAGGGGTTGTATACGAGTGATTGTGAGGTTTGCCCGAGGGGCTGTATATGAGTAATGCTGTCCGAGGGGCTGATTATGATTTCATTATTTTTGCTCACCTTTGCATTGAGCCTTTGTTTGAAAACTGTTGAAAGATGTCTTTAAATGATTTTACTGGACCTGGATTTAAAAGAGGTGATTTGATTCAAACTCGGGTTTTAAAAGCATGTTGTATTTTACTGAATTTTTGTGATATGTACTTTACTTGCATTATTGCTCATCACTACTTCTCAATCTTTATTTACTGTTGTTACTTATTGAGTTGGCATACTCACGTTACTCCCTGCACCTTGTGTGCAGATCCAGGCGTATCTGGATATGATAGCGGCTGTTGACTATTCCAGTTGCAAATTTTCTCGGGGATAGCAAGGTAGCTGCCTGGCGATCGCAGCCCTGCTTTTCTCCCTCTTATCTTCCCTTAGTTGTATTTAGCTATTTTTCAGACTATGTTAGTCTCGATATTGTCAGATAAATTATAGTAGATATTCATGACTAGTGACACCCCGATGTCGGATTTTTCTTTTCCGCACTTTTGTTTTGATTTGAACTCCTTTACGAAGGTTTTTATGTTAAATAGCCTTGAAATTATCTTTGAAATGAAAATATCGGTTTGTTTTGGAAATGAGTCGGCTTGCCTGGTTCCACGATAGGCGCCATCACGACAGAGTTAGTTTGGGTCGTGACACTAATGAATGCCTTCATAATCTATATGCTATAGTCATTTTAGTTTAGCTTCTATGCAATGACAATATATAACATTTTTACATCATCAAGTTAAGATGACCTACATCAACATATAGCTCTCGACAATAAGACTGAAGAAAAGTAAACGACATGCTATAACCAGCTAAAATGAACCCATAATATTATGATCAATTATATTGTCAGTCGATATATGTTAAATCCTAATCAAGATCAACGCGCTTTGCAGAAAATGACTATGCAAATTAATTGGTTGACTCTCCATTAATGTCCCATAAACAATTTAACCTTAACAATTATTTTACTAAGTACTATTCTTCTCTATTACTTGAGCTTCCTCTAATTCTTTGCTATATATAGTACTAGTATCAAGTAGTACATTTCACATTCACCATTTAACTTAGAGATCTAAGTCATGTAAAACAATATTTCTAAGCTTTTCTTGGCTCATTACACCCTTTCTTTCACTCTAATACTATTTATTCTGTTTTCATTTTCTCAATCTTCTGCTGCTAATATTCTTCCAATTATCAACCCTGTCTCTCCTTCCACCATTTGCAAGTTCACTCCCTTTCCTAATTTCTGTAAATCCATACTCCCAACAACTGGAAATGACACGTCCAATAGTAATGTCTATGACTATGGTCGATTTTCTGTTCATAAATCTCTATCTTCGCTCATAAGTTCCTTTCCCTTATTCAAAAATACCTTAGACATTCCAAAATTTTAACAGTTACCGTCACTCGTGCTTTAGAAGATTGTCAAGTTTTAGCTGAGCTAAACATTGATTATTTATCAACCACTTTCAAGACTGTCAATTCAACTTCCAAGATTCTGCCTAGTGGATGTGCAAACTCTGTTAAGTGCCATTTTGACAAATACACAAACTTGTTTAGATGGCCTCCAAGAAACTTCTTTTCCTTGGAGTTTGAAAAATGGCATTTTAACCCCTCTCATTGATGACAAAAAGCTTTATAGTGTTTCTTTAGCTTTGTTCATAAAAGGGTGGGTTCCCAACAAGAAAAATAGATCCAAATCTCACCCAATTACCCAAAAGCAGTCACCTTTCAGGAATGGCCACTTGCCTTTGAAAATGTCTGCAACAAATAGGGCCATATTTGAGAGCATCAGCAGGAGAAAGCTGCTCCAGCAGCAAAATAATGACCAAGATTTGGTGAGTGACATATATACACTATCAGCATAAAGAAATTTTCACTTACATAACCGGTTTTAGTATTCAGGTTATCATATTAGACTTGATAAGGAGAGTTACTCTGCAACGTTATGCACATACAGCTACCAATCCTCATCTACGGATATGAAAATTGTGGCTAGTACCTAATAACGTCACAAAAATTAAAATTCAATGACTGCTTACATTTTCGAATTTTCTTTTAGCCACATAATTGAATTGGTAAAGTTAATTCCTCCTTTTAGCTATAGTTGCTAAGTATCATGTCAAATAATTTCCTCCAGTAGTTCTTGCCACACGTATGAAGTTACTGTAACAATAATAACCTTTTAGTCGCAATAAATTATTTGACACAAAATGTTATAGCTACAAAAGCTAATTCTCTATTTGAAACATGGGGCAGGAAGATGATGACCAGGTTTCGGTGAGTGGCATATATACTCTACACTATCTAACTGGTTGTAGCCGATTATTTCTCTATTTTTCAGGTTACTATATTAGACTTGATAACGAGAGTTACATAACAACATTATGTATATACAACAACAATTCTTCAACTACCGATATGAAGATCGTAACTAGTCCCTTACAGTAGCTACAAATTTTATGGCTGTTTACAATTTCGTAAAATTTCTTAATCAGGAAAATTGAATTGGTGAAACTAATTCCTCATTCTTGCCATAGTTGCTAAGCGGCATGACAAATAGTTACCTAAATAGCCACAAATTTATTGCAACAAGAAAATCTGTAGTTAATCATAAGCTTTTATTGGCTATAGTAGATTATTACTCTATTTTTCAGCTAACCGTAGCAGACTTGATAAGATGAATCTCTTAACCTTATAGTGTATTTTTACATTGTCAGTGCACAAAACATAAACTCATTTATTTTTTAGAGTTTTAAGTTATGTGCACTGACAATGAATAAATCATTTTGATTATCATGTTAAAGTTACAACAACAGTGTAACTCTTCATAGCAAGCATGATCTTGTAATAACATCTTGTAGCAGTTAACATCACATTCCAAAACACAGCAGGAGCAATCAACCACCAAGCAGTTGCAGTCCGAAATAGTGCAGATTTATCCGCGTTCTACAGCTTCAGCTTCGAGGGGTACCAAGATACACTATATGTGTACTCCCTTAGACAATTTTACAGACAATGCGACATTTATGGCACAGTAGATTTCATTTTCGGTAATGCTGCTGCTGTTTTTCAAAACTGTAACTTATATCCAAAACTCCCTTTAGAAAATCAGTTCAATGCAATAACAGCACAAGGCAGAACATATCCAAACCAAAACACAGGAATATCAATTCAAAATTGCACTATAAATCCAGCAGATGACTTGAGATTTCGCAACAGTAGTACACAAACATATCTTGGTAGGCCTTGGAAGGAGTACTCAAGGACTATTTACGCGCAAAATTTTATCAATGGATTTATTAATCCATTAGGTTGGAAAGAATGGTCGGGGGATTTTGCACTTAATACAAGTTATTATGCAGAGTTTAATGACACAGGACCAGGTTCTAGTGCTAGTGACAGAGTCACTTGGCCTGGTTTTCATATTATTGATGCTGCTGATGCTGCTAATTTCACAGTTTCTGAATTTCTACTTGGAGAGGATTGGTTGCCACGGACTGGAGTGCCATACTTTAATAGTTTACTATAAACATGATCCTCAGCAATGCTTCAGTCCCAAAAAAGTTGGGATCGTTATGTAAACATGATCAGCATCCATTAATTTCTCCCTCGACCCCTATAGTCTTTTTCTTTACTTTATATTTGTATGAATTACCTCGATACCATCTAATTTGGTGTTGAGGTGTAGTTGATTGATATTGATTGAATTATTAAGCAGCGTATAAACAGAATTCTCAATGAACATATTGGGAGTCATAGAATGTGAATTCTTTTGTCCTTTTCTTGTCTTGCTCGGCGGAGCTCAACAGGCAAATATTGCTGCAAGAATGCCTCAGAAAATTCTCTCCATCTTGCTACTGGGGCAAGAGATCCCCTAGACTGTTCTCAAGTCTCATACCAAATCACAGCTATATCCCGCAATTTATAAGAGGCAAGCTCTACGAACTCAGTATCAGTGGCATGCATAACTCATAAAGTACGCTGCATTTGATCTAGAAAATTCTGGGGATCCTCATTTGGATCTGTTCCTGCCCCAATTGCTATACAATAGAGTTGTAGCTCACTAGTTATTCTAGATGCTCGCCAAATCTGAAAAAACCCAGAGGTTATTTGTATTCCTCGAAAAACCCCATCTATGTCGCCATTTAATATTTATTGGCCCACTATTGGCCAAACCACCTGGCACTAGGCCCGATGTGAGTTGGATCACTTAGCCACGCTTTATAATTAGAAAAACGAGCACCGTGGGGGTCCAAATTTATGAAATCCCGAACTCTCGTACTGACTGCTCTATCTGAGGTGGTCGGGGCCTGAGAAGCCACTAATCGGGTCAACAACTGTACTGTACTTTTCATATCTAAATCTTGGTAAGAAGAAACCAGTGGAGGAATAGGAGGTACGTTAGTTTCTCAATGTTGTTCCGGGGGTGGTGGTGTCGTCCCCGAAACCTGAGTATCAGCTTCATTATGAGTCTAACATTGTCAGGTGGCACCTGACTAGTACCCTTCCCTGCCTCTTCATTCAATATTGTCTGGCATCTCGTGGTAGGCATCGCTATAAACACAAACAAGATCGGAATTAGAAGCGAATACTTATGACTCAGCTCTATCGCACGATCTAGATCAGAAAGAAAGGTATCCGCCCTAGATATCTCGTAGCCACATGTTTATAAGTATGGTGCACGACATACCCATAAGCAAGACTCTACTAGATACGGCTTGTAGATTTCCTAGGACTTACATGCTCTGATACCAAGTTTGTCACACCCCAACCTTGGGAGGTGCGAACCGACGTTCATGCTTACATCTTTTTAATCATGAAACTTGGGCCAACGAGGCCTCCAAGTACTAATACCATAATTAAAATGTGTACAACTGACTTGCAAAAGAAATATTGACATTTTTATATATATTGACAATTGTACCCAACAAAGTCATAACCAATCCTTTTACATACAACCAAACTCTAGTTTTCAAGCCTCAAAGAGTGCTAAAACATAGTACATTACTTGGTCGGACAGGGCCCCACTGTACCTAAAATAACTATAACATACATTTCGGTACCTATTAACTTCTGAACAGCTACTCCGAAGAAGTGATGTGCAACAACCGACAACTGGGACACACACCCTACTAGGGAGGGACGTCACCGGATCTATCTGCACCTGTGGGCATGAACACAGCGCCCAAAAGAAAGGGGCGTCAGTATAGAAAATGTATTGAGTATGTAAGACTAAGAAGGCATATAAATCAAAGACATAACATAAGAGATATGAACACATGATTTCAATCGGAATACCGAAGACAAGCCACCAAGGGCGCATACTATATAAACCATAAAACTTAAAACTATGCAAGCTTCATAAAAGGTTAGCCACCCATGGAGACTCATGCACTAAATATAATATAATATTGCTCAGCTACTCTTTGAGGCATATCATTTCATATCGTACCCTGCCTCATAGAGGACTCGGTAAAGTTTATATCTTCCGTCACATCATACTTGGCCTCAGGAGGTCTCGGTTGTGCCCGGCCTCAAGAGATCTCGGTCATACCCGGCCACACAAGGTTTCGGTAGTGTTTCATAGCACATCATTCCGTACCCGGCCTCATAGAGAACTCGGTCGTACCCGGCCACACAAGGGCTCGGTAGTGTTTCACATTGTATCTCATCATACCCAACTGATCAGTGGTTGCACAATAGGTATCGTACCCGGCCGACTACAATGCGGCTCAGTAAAGTGTATGTATGTGTGTGTGTGTGTGTGTGTATATATATATATATAAGTGCAATGCAAAGTCAATTTCCATAGATACTAAGATCCAACCCAGGATGAAGCATATTTTTCCGATCTCATGACATTTCTAGAAACACTTCAAACTTGATAGAAATGTTACCGATAAGAATAAATGAGAACAGTAACACTGTTTCTGGGAAGAACTTAGAACAAACCAATCTTATAACACAAAAATATTTTTTAGGGAGACACACTTACACCAAATCATGCCAAAAAAGAAAGTTGTCCTACATACCTTGTTGAAAAATTAGCTACACTTTTATGATGGTTAACTCCGCTTCCAACGAATCTCCAGAATCAATACAACAAGATAATATATATTATAATGACGATTCCAAGCTCTTTCACGCTAGATCCTACTAGATTCACTTTCGACCTTGCCTTAGACTATTTGGGAATTCTAAAGGGGTGTTGAGAGCATTTTGGGAGAACTAATGTTGGTGATATCTTCTAGAATGAGTGAGAAAGAGCTACACTACCTTTTATATTATGCCAAGTTTAGAAATTCCGCCGCTGCTACATGCAAAACGGGTCGCCCCACCTCGGTTGCAGCACCCGGCGAGACAGCTGGAGTTAGCCTAATGAAACGTGTAATCCCCTTTTGACCCCTCTATCCCCGTACGTGTCACCGACCGATTGGCCGCATCAGAAGCCCCACATATCAATCTTTAACTTTGTGAGGTGTAACATTTTCTTTATTAATCTATTCAAAACATGCCTTGGTAATCAAGAGGCTACTAGAGTTTGTCTTATGAAGTTATCTTTCTTATGGCAGCTAGTTGACAGAGATGTGTCTCAAAACTAATGAAACCCAATGAACCTTAAAATAAAATAAAAAAAGAAAGAAAAAAAGTTAAACAAAATAAGGAAGAACTCAGGAATCCTCCATTGAGCCTTTCTTGGAGATTGTAAGAAATAAAATAGTCAGTATGCAAAGACAGATTTATACAGGGTACTCTATCATGGTACCACTTAAACACGCGCACTTGAATAGAACAAAATAGATAAAAAAGATTCATATAATAGACCCCAACTAGTATCTAATTGAAACGTAGTTGATTGATTGATTGATTGATTGAATAATCATCCCATTCAGATTTCCCTTTCTTTTTATTTCATAGAAGTGCTTCATTTCAGTCCAACCAGTTTGATTTTGTCCATAGCCAACAATTAACAGTAGCCCACAAAACTGAATTTCTTTAGAATAAGCTTTGAAGTTCAAGATACATAATATTTGCTACTAGTAAGTCAATGATCTCAAACCCCAGGAATAGCCTTTTATTCCGAATATAAAAAAACATTTGGAACAAGATTGAGAGGGTACCCGTCATAAAATGACAAATCAGAACTTCTGGAAAAAGTCATAAATGTGGCCGTTAATTTCTTCTGGTTTTTCTTCGTTGATGAAGTGTCCAACTCCTTCCATGATAACTACTTCCTGCAAAAATGGCACCATTTTTTGGAATCCACCTTTGTGGATATATTCCTTCACCCCGGGCGTATTGTACGTAAGATCAAGATCCCCCACGATAAACTTAACCGGGACCTTTATTTGCTGCCCTGTCCATGGTGCAGTCAGCTCCCAGTTTCTGCAATGATTAAAAATAAGAGTTTACGTTATAGAACTGACAATGCAAAAAAAATTTTACACAATAGCTCACTTATAAGATTATAACATTAGATTTAAGTTATATATACTGACAGTGTAAAGATTATTTTACACTATCAGAGAAATTAATTATGTGATAGCAAGTTACTTACTATTTTATCAGAATAATACATGTAATTACCTAATAAATGACCTGATGGTGTAACTACTACAAGTAAGTCTACGATAAACAATAATAGGTAATCTATAGAAATGGTGACTAACCTGCTATTACTAACAACTAACACCATATAGACTTCTTAAAAGTTTGAGTTCAACCGACTTTGCATTTGGACTGGCACTCGAACACAACTATTAAGTTGATCCATAATAGTAGATAAATAAATCAACTAAGTATGTCAGTTTTTTTTGCGGGGAAAAGATAAAAAATACATCTCTACTACATGAAATATCTTAATTTTACCCTCTGTTTTACATCGAGGGTATTGATACCCTTGCCCGTTAGCAAATCGTCTATGAATCAACACATATGCAGCACAATTCTTAGTTCATATAAGCACAATGCCACGCAAACTGTTAGCACATAATAAACCTAAGAATTTTGTCCCCAGGGCTTTGGTCAACTTGGTCCGCTGGTAAGAGCGCAATACATAATGTGTGGGTTAGGCTCACATCACAGGTTCAATACCAGTCGCAAACAAAGACTGGTCCTTGAGTGGAGAAGAGTAGAAGGCTGGCCCATTATCCACCGAGTTCCGAACTGTGCGCCAATTGCCTTTGGGGATTTCTCGGTTATAAGAGGATAAAATAAACCTAAGAGTTATTAAGAAAATAGCTCATCCAGCGAAGAAAGTAACAAGGAAACTCACAGGTCCATTGCGCGATAATAGTTTAATCCACCAGTAAAACCTTTCTGGCTGAATTTGTTTGCATAGTAATTGATATCCTCTTCCGACAACCAAGAGGGCAATTTGATTGGAGTATGACTTGAACCCCCAAATCCTTTCTCTTTAGATACACGAAGGGGAGCTGGATTACGAGATATTAAAAACTTTGCAATTAGTCTTGCAGTATCAACACGAGCAAACTCCTCTTCCACCTGTCCGTATTCCTAAAAATACAACACATTCAAAATTGTGGTTTATAATGATGATAAAATGATGTAATTTTTCTTTTTCGATAAGCCAATAATGATTAAATGACATCTTCAGCAATGAAGAAAGGATTCACATTAGCACCTCATAAAAACTGCAGTTTATCAAATTTGTCTATCTTTTGCCTAATACTAAACTCCAGCATAACAACCCTATTCACAATAAAAGCCAACTAGAGCTCTGTAGCTACAATGTTGAAAAATTGGAATTGTCATGTCAATCGGATGAGGATAACTAAGTAATATTCTGAAACAGCCTAAAGAAATTTTAAAACCATTTCTTTCCTAGGGGAAGCAATCTCATTTTTTATCCGAAAGGCTTTAAGTGCAATAAGAGAAGTCAGATATAATAATAAACAGAATAAAAGAGAAACATCAAGATTTCACTGAAGTTGGGCATCACAAAACAAAATATTAACCAACCATGAAAAAGATAATGAAGCGGACCCTCATAAATAAGTAACCTAAACAAACATCAGTATTTGCAAAATCAGAAGCCGAATATCATCACAACTAAGAACAAGTATACAAGAGAAATTTTCGAAATTTTCTTTGAAAAGAATACAATAATGATATTTCAAAAAAAAAAAAAAAAACACATACCCCTCTTCATTCCCTTGGGTACTCTGACAGAAAATGAACAAGACTGTCAAAGAGTTAGCTGATCATGAAAGAGGCTTTCAAACATAAGCTCATAAATGATATTTTCAAATGGGGAAAACACCACCACCAAAAAGGAATTTAGAAAGAAATGTTTGCTAAATCATCTCAAAAAGATCCAGATAGATCGGATTCCTACATTAATCAAGATTCAAGAGAAATGGTCTAAAAATATCCTACATGAGAAATACAAAACTAGGAGTGGTATCTGTGAGAAATAATACACCGAAAAGTTATATTATTGATGTATTGACAATGATACAACGAGTCCTATATATNCTGATCATTGGACTTCACAAATTTTGTAGCAATATCTCCTGAGAGTATCTTTTCTCTGACGACGTGACAATCAATCTCAATGTGTTTAGTCCTCTCATGGAACACCGGATTTGACGCAATATGAAGGGCAGCTTGATTATCGCACACAAGTTCCATTTGACTGATTTCACCAAATTTCAACTCCTTGAGTAATTGTTTGATCCAAATTAGCTCACATGTTGCCATAGTCATTGCTCGATATTCTGTTTCTGCACTAGACCGAGCAACTACATCCTGTTTCTTGCTCTTCCAAGACACCAAACTGCCTCCTACTAAAATATAATATCCAGACGTAGAACGCCTATCAGAAGGTGATCCTGCCCAATCAGCATCTGAGTATCCAACGATCTGTTCATGGCCTCGATCCTCAAATAAGAACCCTTTGCCTGTAGCCGATTTTATATACCGAAAAATGCGGACAACTGCATCCCAATGACTATCACATGGAGAATCCATAAACTGACTTACAACGCTCACAGGAAAGGAAATGTCAGATCTAGTCACTGTGAGATAATTTAATTTACTAATCAGCCTCCTATATCTTGCAGGATCGCTAAGCGGCTCCCCCTGTCCTGGCCTAAGTTGCTCGGACACGGGTGCAGGTGTCCGACACGGGTGCGGATCTAGAAGTCAGATCCTTCGAGATATAAATTCTAAGATTCGAGGATACGGATCCTAGTACGGATACGGGTGCGGGGATCCGGCTAAATAATTTACAAAAATAAAAATAAAAAAATATCTCTGAATTATGAGAAATTTTGTGGAATATTTAAGTACAGCCTATAAAATGTAAATTTCTTTTTTATTCTCAAGTTGTGTAGATAAGTAAAGAATTGATTTCCTAGATAAGGCATGCTATTTTCTTCAAATTTATCCTAGTTTTGGTTCTGATTTCGGGAATCAAATTGTATCTTGTCTCGAATTTTTTCATCCGTTGTAGTCAAAGTACCCAAAATTGTTTGACCAGATCCAGTACGGATCCTATACCCACACTCATACTAATGTCGTGTCGACACGGGTGCGGCAGCTAAACTGCCATGTTGAAGCAACTTAGGTCCTGGCAGAAGTTTAGAATTCGGATCCGTCGGAGTGTCAATCGGTCTACAACCTGTCATTCCTATCTCCTCAAGAATGTCTAAGGCATACTTTTGTTGTGATATCACAATACCTGAACTAGACCGAGCGACCTCAATACCCAAAAAATACTTTAGTCTGCCCAGATCCTTAGTCTGAAAGTGTTGAAAGAGATGTTGCTTCAATTTAGTAATACCATCCTGATCATTGCCGATAATAACAATATCGTCAACATAGACCACCAGATAAATACAGAGACTTGAAGCAGAATGCTGATAAAACACAGAGTGATCAGCTTTGCTACGAGTCATGCCAAACTCCTGGATAACTGTGCTGAACTTACCAAACCATGCTCGAGGAGACTGTTTTAAACCATAAAGTGACCGGCGCAAGACATACAAGGCCACGAGACTTTCCCCTGAGCAACAAACCCAGGTGGTTGCTCCATATAAACCGCATCCTCAAGGTCACCGTGTAGAAAAGCATTCTTAATGTTCAGCTGATAGAGAGGCCAATGGCCGACGACAGCCATGGATAGAAAAAGGCAGATTGATGCTATCTTAGCCACAGGAGAGAAGGAATCACTGTAATCGATCCCAAATATCTGAGTATATCCCTTGGCAACAAGACAGGCCTTAAGTCGATCAACCTTGCCATCCAGACCAACCTTGACTGCATACACCCAATGACAACCAACAGTAGATTTACCTGAAGGAAGAGGAACAAGCTCCCAAATACCATTCGTATATAAAGCAGACATCTCGTCAATCATAGCATGTCGCCATCTTGGATAAGACAATGCTTCACCTGTAGACTTAGGGATGGAAACAGAGGACAAAGAAGATATAAAAGCATAATGAGGTCATGACAGGCGATGATAACTTAAACCGACATAATGGGGATTAGGAATAAGTGTGAGTCGTATACCTTTCCGAAGTGCAATCGATGTACTAGGAAGAGACAAGTCCGCAGTAGGAGCAGGGTCAGTTGCAGAACGTGAATCAGTTAGGCCTGATGCTGAGCGCGGACGACGATGATAAGTCAAGAGTGGTGTTCCTGTGGTTGGGGATCTAGGAGGAGCCACACTAGACTCCTCAACGGTTGGAATGGGTAAGACTTCTGTGGTAGAAGGTGAAGCAGGAGCTATAGTAAACTCCTCAAAGGTCGGTATAGGTAAGACCTCAAATATATCAAAGTGGTCAGAAGAGGTAAAGAAAGGTTTAGACTCAAAAAAATATGACGTCAGCTGACATAATGTACCTACAACGATCAGGTGAGTAACAACGATATCCCCTCTGAACACGAGAATAACTAAGGAAGGCACACTTAAGAGCACGAGGAGCTAACTTATCTTTCTCATGGGCTAAGTTATGAACGAAACAAGTGCTCCCAAACACACGAGGGGGAAGAGAGTATAAGGGTGACTGGGGAAACAATACTGAATACGAAATCTGATTCTGGATGGGAGATGAAGACATCCGATTAATCAAATAACAAGCTGTGAGAACTGCATCGCCCCAAAAACGCAACAGAACATGAGATTCAATGAGAAGTGTGCGAGCAGTCTCAATGAGGTGCCTATTCTTTCTCCTCTCTGCAACCCCATTTTGCTGAAGGGTATAAGGACAAGAGGTCTGATGAATAATTCCTTGAGAAGTCATAAACTGCTGAAATTGAGAGGATAAATATTCTAAGGCATTATCATTGCGAAAAGTGCGAATAGAAACACCAAATTGATTTTTGATTTCAACACAAAAATTCTGAAATATAGAAAACAACTCCGAATGAATTTTCATTAAGAAAAGCCAAGTACATCTTGAATAATCATCAATGAAACTAACAAAATAACGAAATCCCAAGGTTGTACTGACTCTACTAGGACCCCATACATCAGAATGAACTAAAGAAAAAACAGACTCTGCATGACTCTTAATACTACGAGGAAAGGAGGCTCGGGTATGTTTTCCGAGCTTACACGACTCACAATCTAATGTAGATAAACTAGACAAACTAGGAACCATCATCTGAAGCTCGGATAAACTCGGATGTCCTAAACGTCTGTGAATTAGGTCTGGAGGATCTGTAACTAGACATGCCTTGGAGGGATTGAGTGAGTTAAGGTAGTAAAGGCCTTCTGATTCAAGCCTTGTGTCAATCGTCTGTCACGTACTGCGATCCTGCATAATAAAAGAATCATCAATAAAATATATATCACAATGGAGGGCACGAGTCAAACGACTATCAGATGCAAGACTAAAAGGATAGCCAAGGACATAAAGAACGGAATCTAGAGTGACAGAAGGTAGGGGATTAGCTTGTCCAACTCCTTTTGCTTTAGTTTGAAACTCATTGGCTAAAGTAACAGTAGGAAGAGACTATGAATACACAATATTTGACAAAAGTGATTTATTACTAGAGATATGATCAGAAGCGCCTGAGTCCACGACTCATGGTCCAAGAGTACTAGACTGAGAAACACAAGCAAAAGAATTACCAGCAACAGAAGTATCAGTCTGAGCAATAGAGGCTACTTGTGGAGATGTCTGCTTGCTTGCTCGGTACTGAAGGAACTCATTATATTCCCCTTCAGATAAAGAAAATCCCTGGTTACATGTAGTCTCGGTCTGAGCAACATAAGTATTTTTGGGTGGTTGACTATGTAAAGAATAGCACACTTCACGAGTGTGTCCAAGTTTATGGCAATAAGAACACTTAGGTCTAGATCTTCCAAAACGACCTCCTGCTCGTCTATTCCCCATAGTTTGAGATGCCCGATTTTTCACTGTCTGGGATGCAAAAACTGAGGAGTCAAGTGTCTGTGATGAGATCATTGGGTGACTTAGTGTTGCAACAAGGCGAAGTAATCGAGAGAATAAATCATCAACTGTGGGGACATTCGAACTAGCCAACATCTGGTCACGTACTGAATCAAAGGTCACTAGAGATATGATCAGAAGCGCCTGAGTCCACGACCCATGGTCCAAGAGTACTAGACTGAGAAACACAAGCAAAAGAATTACCAGCAACAGAAGTATCAGTCAAAGCAACAGAGGCTACTTGTGGAGATGTCTGCTTACTTGCTCGGTACTGAAGGAACTCATTATATTCCCCTTCAGATAAAGAAAATCCCTAGTTACATGTAGTCTAGGTCTGAGCAACATAAGTATTTTTGGGTGGTTGACTATGTAAAGAATAGCACACTTCACGAGTGTGTCCAAGTTTATGACAATAAGAACACTTAGGTCTAGATCTTCCAAAACGACCTCTTCCTCGTCTATTCCCCATAGTTTGAGATGCCCGATTTTTCACTGTCTGGGATGCAAAAACAGAGGAGTCAAGTGTCTGTGATGAGATCATTGGGTGACTTAGTGCTGCAACAAGGCGAAGTAATCGAGAGAATAATTCATCAACTGTGGGGACATTCGGACAAGCCAACATCTGGTCACGTACTGAATCAAAGGTCATTAGGGAGTCCAGCGAGTGTAAGAACTAGAAACATCTTATGTCGTTGCTCTTGTTGCTTTTCAATACTAGCAGAAATTGGCATCACCTTCTCCCAAAGTGCTTTGGCCTTTTCATCACCGTCGCTAGCCCTTTTTGTTAAATGATCTTGAACACCTTGACCTTTACACCACAACTCGACTGACGAAGCCCAAGCTAAGTTTGAACTTCCCATTAAAGGTTCTGAGGTAATCATAATACCAGAACTTCCAGAACCCGTGTTTTTAGACCCAAATACATAAACTCCCAAAGACATTGTTGGATTGAAAAGAGATCTAGCAAATTAGCATCAAATAAAACAAAGAATCAATTGTAGTTGCCGGAAAACTGCTGGAAAAAAATACTGTAATTGCCGGAAAATTTTCAAAGTGCTCGGAATCAAAAAAGAAAATTACGGGTAGGCTCGGAATTATAGGGCGATCCAACTGTTCTAAAGAAGGGTTTTGAAAAAATGGCCGGAAAGGGCTACACGCGCCGGCGCGTGGAATAGATCTCGCCGGAAAAAACTGCCTTCGGTCGGCGCTTGAGTCGTCGGCTGCCGGAGGTGTTTACTAGGGTTTGGTCGTCGGGGGTTGGAGGACCTTGTGGTGGTGTTGGTTTTTTGCACAACAGCGATGGAAATTGGTTTTGACAAAAAAATAGCCCTAAAAGGTCGCCGGAATTGAAGCACGACGGCTGTTTCGACTGGGTTTTTTTTTCCGAATGTTTTCTCACTGCCGCTCTGATACCATGTGAGAAATAATACACCGAAAACTTATATTATTGATGTATTGACAATGATACAACGAGTCCTATATATATATAATAATGTTCTACTCCTACTACATATAGGATTAGGGTTATTTACATGTAACTATTTAACTACCAAACTAACAGTATCAATTGAAGCATTTGTAACCTCAATTTTGCATGGCTTTTCCGTAATCTGCCATCCAAAAAATAGAGAAAACCCTAGCTCACTTAAACCGGGACAAGTACAGTACTAATCTTTTGCAAGGTGCTTTTGAAACTTGCATATTACTGGTATCAGCACAAAACCCTTCCCTCTTACTCATGATCTATTCACCAAAAAGTTCACTTCTTAAGGACTAATAACCAAGCAATAGCATAGCATTCACAAAATCCAAAGAATGTAAGTCGATTAAATAGAGAAATGATACACCATATCGGATAGCGAATGCCAGATACAGAAATTTGAATCCCAAAACTCATTTCGATCACAACCAATGCAATATGAACACCCAAGTCCAGCAAAATCATTCAAACAGAGAAATTGAAAGTGATTGTATCACCAAAATCCTGACTTTATCCCTAGTGCAGCAAGGAAGATTATACAACAATCAACATTAATCAACTTCTCAAAATTCCAAAATAATTGGAGTTAGCCACATAGATCATCTGTATTCTATACAGAGAATTCGTTAAAGTTAGAATATTCTTAAGCTCGCTGTCAATCTATGGCAACCATCCTCTTCTATCCAAATTTGGAACCAGCTATACTTTGTGAAGCATCGGATGGGCAGAGTTAAAAATATCATCGAACAATAACTAAACCTCAATCCCTTTCCACATTATTTGTACCTATTGGAGGATCATATAACAGTTAAAAGAAAACAAAATAGGAGAGGAAGGTGCGGCAAAAAACCTGAAATCTGCAAATATAGTAATCATCCCCGAGAACAGCACGCATAGATTCAATAGGCTTTCTCTTCGGATGCCTAGGGTGGAAGACGACGCTCATGTTAACCAGAGCCTTGATCCTATCAGGTCGAAGAAGGCATAAGTGCCAAGCTATAATAGCACCCCAGTCATGTCCAACAAGGAACACCTGAATAATCATAAGCAAATCCAGCATATAAGTAATAATGTGCTTCCAGTATTTTAACTCGAAATATATATGTATATTCAAAATTCTAAACAAAAAACTTTGTAAATCTGTATATATATTAAGTGGCGCATCCACTGTCTATATATTAGCGGGACACCATCATCTCTAGATCCTAGATTAGCGTCTGATTACTCGAACTACTATTAGGTACATACAAAGTCTAAGAAGGCTCTCTATTTGTATGATATTAAGTGCTCCATATTAAATTCTAGATTCGTCTCTAGCCTGATCGAGACTCAAGTATCAAAACGGGCAACGATTATGAAGAAAGGCAAATTCATACAGGCAAATTCAACATTTAAGTAGCAGATCCACTTGCATTCACTTCTTGAAACTCGAACTATTAACTGATGCATCCCCTATCTATATATTATAAGTTGTGTACTTGTGCACCACTATCTTCAGATCCTAGATTGGCCACCAATTGAACTATCTATATGTATACAGAAAATTTAAACAAATTGTTTACGTGTAATATTAAAGAGTTTAACTTTTGTACGCTGACAAGACGACCTGCAACAAATGTTATATCGATTTAAATACTGATAGTAAAAAATTTATTTATACCGACAATACATATATAAGTTAAATCCAATGGAGTATTAAATAGTGCATAACTGTCTACATATTAAGTGTTGCATACATTAAATTATAGAGGCGCCTCTGACTTGATAGGATCGAGGCACTGATTAATATGAACTATATATATGTATAAAGAATTCAAACAATTTTTATATGTGTAATAATAAAGAGTTCAACTTTTGTACACTGACAATGAGTAGTTTTTTACACTATCAGGTTAAGACGACTCATATAATTATCTATAATAATCCTCATTTAATATAACATACACTTCCTTCGACCCAAATTGATTAGGCGCACAGTTTAAGTTGAATTCAATATTAAATGGCTCCATACTTTAAATTCTAGATTCGGCTCTGACCTGATCGAGACGCAAAGTATCAAGAAGGGCAATAAGGTCACCAACGATATGAAATACTGTATAACTAGAAGGAGAAGGAGGCGCATCCGTGTCGCCATAGCCACGTAGGTCAGGAGCTATTGCACGGTAACCTTTGGATGAAAGAGCAAGCAATTGATGGCGCCATGTGTACCAGAGCTCAGGGAATCCATGGAGGAATAGAATTGCAGATTGGCCTTCACCAATTTCAGCTATGTGCATATTTATGCCGTTTACTGTGAGATTCTTGTGCTGTATTTTCTCCATGTTTGGTGTGTGTGTTGCTTTTTTTTTTGGTTATTGCTAGAATTTGAAGAACAAAAGAGAAGGCTTTTGACTATTGAGCTCCCAGCAAATGAGAAATGGAGTACTGTATGTTTAAGTTCAATGTACCGTGTAAAAGATAATATTTTTTTACAATGATTGGTAACCTTGTTATTCTTCGAAGCTTTATAGAGTATATAGATTTGGTTGAAATTAGGGAAAAAAAGAATTCAACGCTTGTGGTGAAAAATAATTTTTAAAAGTTTAAAGTTGTATTTGAAGATGTATTTTACTTAGAAAAAATATTGAAGTTTTATGAGTGGAAGAATTTTTGAAATCTGAAAAAAAAAATTCAAAAACTAATCATCTTTCATGAACAAATAATGTTTTAATTTTTTTTTATAAAAAGGTAGCCAAAATCTATATCCAAAGGAGAGCTTAATCTATAATCAAACGTCTTGAAAAATGAAATTGTCTCGTGGTCCGACCCTCCTCGAACCCTGCGCATAATAGTAGCTTAGTGCACTGTACTTGCCAAATATAAATTTTACCTCACTTCCCAGCACATATTTGGATTATTCAAGCCCCAAGGTAGATATCAAACACTAAATAATAAAAAAGAATGTGCTCCATTTTTTATCGGGGTGTTTGACTAAACTCCCTTCATTTCAATTTATTTTAAAGTTTATGAGAGTGTTTTACCCTTGTAGTGATACTTATTTTTAAATGACATCCACATTGCTCATAAATATTTATTTTTTATTTCAAATATTTTTTATAATTTAATACATAACAATTTTCGCACACATATCTTGATTATTCAAGTTCCAAAGCCAATATCAAACACCGAATAAAAAAAAATAAAAAATCAAAAGTGCTCCCTTTATACTAATTTATGTCGGGATGTTTGACTAGCTCACTAAATAAAAGAGTGTCACATAATTTGAGACCATGAGAGTAATAAATATTGTCTTGTCACTATCTAAAACTTAAATCTTTCAATTATTATAGAAAATTATAATTTTAATGTAATTAAATCAATAATAATAAGTTATTTGCCATCTTATATGCGAATAACTTTTTACCGTTGCCTTGATTGGTAAGCCAATTGATTGTTCAAAGTTTGAAAAAGAAAGTTGACTTTTCAAAGGGTTGTCATAAAATAAATTTGTAATTTAGATTTCTATATATGATATTTTTAATTTTTATCATAATTTGCATCGAATACTTCTTTGGAAAAAAATAAATTAAACGATAGTGTAAATGCCTAATTTTGCACTTTCTTTTCTTTCTTTTTATGTTTATTATGTTTGTATGTCTAGGATTTTTTTAGTTGTTTATAATTAATTAAAAGAGAATAAGAGTGTAGCATAAGTTGTGTTATTAGCTAATTGGGCCAAATTGGCCCCAAAATCGGAGCCCAAAAGCACCTGGACCCGGTCCAAAATGAGGCCAACCCGTTGGAGTCTTTAAACGACATAGTAAAACTAAGTCGTTTCATTTAGTAGCCCAAAGATTGAGTCTCATTCGTTTGATCTCTCTTGATCCAATGGTCCACGATCAATCTCCAACTAGGTAGTTAAGACTTATACAGACTGAAATTTTGCCACATTTCCCCCATAATTCTTCTTCTCTCCTTTCCTCTTCACTCTCTCTCGTCCCTCAGACTTCTCCGCCGCCCCCCACGGCGGCGGCGCACGTCCAAACACCATCAAAATTTCACCATCTCTTCCTCTCTTCATTCTCTACACCAATCCAAACCCCCAAACCCCCAAAATCCTAACCAATCTCCTTAAATCTAGCCTTGACCAAAACCCTAGCTTACTTTGTTCTTGAAATTTCTCGAGTTTTAGCCGCCCCCACACCGTAACACCTACATAAATGGATAGATCTGAAAGAAATCTATCCATTCCTACCAATTTTAACCCCGAAAGCACCACCACTGCCGGCCAACCACCTTCACTGCCGTGACCACCCTATTGTCGCTACATCTCCACCGCTGAGCCATTGTTCTTGGATGAACACGATCACGTAGTCTCTTTTTATCTTTGACACAGTGCTGGATTCAACTCTGGTTCGTCAGAGTTTGTGTTTTTCGGCATTTGTCGTCGAGAAAAAGAGGCATGGAGGTCGATTCACCGTCTATTTGTGTCGTACTACTGGTTCGAAGGTCGAGCGCTTAGGTAAAACCTTTACCTTTTTCTCCGTGCTTTTTATTTACTGTTTCAATGCTATTTGATTATAGTTCTTTTTTTAATTTAAATTAGGTTAGTAGTCGTCTTGGTTTAACACTTAATGTAGTCTCTCTTTCAATTGGCAATTAAGATTAGGTTTTAATATGTGTTATATGCTTATGTTTTTTTCTAATTATGTAATTAGTGCTTTTGATTTTGTTAAATTAGGATAGTTGTTCTAGTTTAGTTTCAATAAACACTAACTCGTGTCGATTCTTGTTGTTTAAAGTTTAGTTAATATCGGTTAATTGTTGTTTGTTTGTTCTTGATTATCTGTTTGGTTTAGTTACTATGAGTTTAGTTAGTTTGATGTTCTGATCAGTTCATAACCAATTCCTCGTTAGGTTGTTACAATTGTTGTAATGAGTTTATGTTTTCAAACAGGTCGTTTGGTTTCAAATTGCTTTTTGAATTATGTTGAAGTGTTGTTAATCTAGCTGTTACTTAGCAAATGATGTTTGTATGTTTTGGTTGATCACTTGAGTCTAGTTACATGGTTGCTTGTGTTTCAGTTTGAATCAAATAGAGTGGTATTAATTTGGTGTAAAGCTGAAAGCTAGATATGTTAATTATAAAATAGCTACATGTTAGTTTGCTTTTACTGTTTTAAGCATGATGGAAAATAGACTTTGTGTCAGAATTTGGTGAAAAGAGGACTATTTTGGCACACAAAAGTTAGTCCTTTTAGACAGATTTTTGGTGAACCAAAATCTATCCAAAAGGACTTATTTTTCCTACTTAAAAGATACATCTTGACACACTTACGGATAATCTGGACACTCTATGAAAGACACAACAAAAAGAGAGTAAAAAGGCATCAGCTGAACATCAAAGTAAGCTGAAAAAAACTGAAAATTTGTGAGTTCTTTCTTCCTTCCTTTTTTTAAGTCACTGAACTTCAAGTTTGAGTTTATGGGTCATTTCGGGTTCAAAATATTGTTGTTTGGTTGTTGTTTTCACTGCTGGAAGTTGGCTAGTTTGATGTTGTTCGTTAGTTTGTACTTCGGAGTTCCATCTTTGCTATCGTTTGATTGTCAGCTCTTCAAGTAACCCTTAAACTTTGTAATGCAGATTTTATAGTAAATGATTAAAGATAAGGACCATTTAAGCTCTTCAAGTGTTAAAGTTTAATCAGTTATTAATAGCGTATAGATCTGAAATGTGTAACTTCATATATATTTTTTTCTAGTTTCTTTTCTTGTACTTTTGAGCTTGCTTCTTGTTTTGCTTTATAAGACACTGAAGTTTAGCCATGAAGTTTCCCACTATTTGTCTTGTTGTAATTAAGCCCTCATGATGTTTCTTTTGAATGACAAATGCTAAAGCTAAATTAGATTCTTAGGTGAGTTTAATGTTCAAAAGGGAAGTCCCAAATACTTGAAGTTTGTTTAGATGGAATACAACTTGAAGTTTGAAAAGTAGGGTCTCTATTCATGCGTTTATTAATGTATAGAAGAAGTTAGTTGTTGGGTTTGGCATAGCTATATAGCCACGTTTAGAGTTTTTATTACTTTAGTTTTATTAAATATTTGTGAAGTTAAATGGAGAATAATAGTGGATAGTGAATTGGAATGGAGGTTGGCACGATGAATGTGTTAGTTTCGGTATTGAAATTGGGCTATTTAGAGATGTGTAAGTTTAATTATTCTTTTTTAATTCTTGTCCAAATTAGTATTAGGTTATGTAGTAATACTTAATAGAGATAAATTTTTGAAATTAACAAAAGAGAAGTTGGATTTGAGTAAGTAGGCCACATAGATTTGTGCATAACTAGTCTTGTTGAGTTGTATTAGTAAACTGAAAATTTCAGATTATTTGGGTCGAATGAGATCAAATTCGCCAGGCCCATAAACAAGATAATTCAGCCGATCCATTTTCTTTAAATAAAATCTGCTAAGCCCACCTCCATAAATAACAAAACTGATCCATCTTTCTTTTTTGGGTAATGAAGATATATATATATNTGTCCTTTTCAAAAGCAGGTACAACAAAAGTAGGAGGAACATAAAACAGTTTCAAGCTTCCAAAAATGTCCGAGCAACTTCCTTGCTTTGCCAGTTTATCTGCGACTCCATTTTCCTCCCTAAAGATGTGCTTCATTGGTGGATCCCCCACCTCCTGTAATAGCCCTCTGCATTCATCGACAAGATTTTGAAAATAGCAGTCATTGTTAGTCATTATATTAATTAACTCTTTGCAGTCGGTTTCAATGACTAGAGGGTATAAGCCCTTAGACTTAGCGAGATTTAAACCATGGAGTAAGGCTAGAGCTTCCATGTATAAGTTGGTAGCGTGTGGGATTGTCAAGTTGAAACCTAATATCCAGTTACTGTTGTTATCTCTGAAGACCCCTCCAATACTGCCCCATTTCTGGGTTTCCTATGCAGGAGCCATCAATGTTGAGTTTTAAGTGGTTAGGATCTGGGGGTTCCCATTTAATACGGATAATGGATTTGGCAAGTTTTGGGTGATGAGTTTCGGTCATGGACTTAAACTCCATTGCTTTATTGATGATGTGGTTAGCGAGAACAGGAGTTCTATTGTTTTTGAATAGGATATCATTCCTGGCTAACCAAAGGTGCCAAAGAATAAAATGAAGGGTTTCTTTCTAACTGATGAGTTCATTGAACATGAATTTTGAGTTAAGCTAATTTTTTAACCATCCGATGGTGTCATTAGCATCATTTTGCCCCAGCTGCAGGTTGGTGTTAAGGTTAACCCTCTCCCAGATTTATTTTGAGTAGGTGCATCTAAAGAAGATATGCTCTATATCCTTTCTTTCCTTGTAACAAATGCTACAAATATCAGTATCGCTAATGTTTCTTCTTGAGAGCATGAGGGCTGTAGGTAATGTATTATGAACTACCAACCATAAAAAAGCTTTGATCTTATTGAGGGTGGGAACTTTCCAAACCCAACTATAATCTTTAGTCTCTTCTGGGGCTTTGTGGAGATTTGAGATAAGGTCGTAAGCCGTTTTAGTAGAGAAGGAGTTATGGTTGATGGTATTCCAGTTGGATTTGTCTTTTGAGGGTAAACCTTGCTTAATGTAAGTGCTGTGAATTTTAAGATTTATGCTATCTGGCAGGTCAAAAGACAAGGTGTTCAGGTTAATAACACGATTATGTAAAATAGTGGAGAGAGCTTGTTTTGATTCATTCTGCATTAGTGGCCCTTGCCCCTGGATAAGGCTTCTTAGTGGCCCTGGCCCTGGCCCCTGGATAAGGCTTCTTAATGGTTCAGAGTGGTTGATCCATTTATCTTCCCAAACGTTGATGGAAGTACCATCTCCTATTGACCAATGGAGGCCTTTGTAACATATGTTCTTTCCTTCGATTATGTTTTTCCAAATATGCGAGCCTGTAACTTTATCGTGTGGTCTGTTAGCGACGTTGTGCCTAACTCTGTACTTATTATGGAGAATTTGGGCCCAGAGTGAACCCCTATCGCTTGAATACCTCCGTACTAGGCAGCCTTAAAAGAAAAAAAAATTTCAATGGGATTTATATAACCCAGCCCTCCCTCCCTCTCTTTGGTTTGGTTACTACGTCCCATTTGATAAGGTGGCATTTTTTCCTTTCATTAGTGCTTCCCCGCAAAAAGTTTCTCTAAATGGCATCGATCCTGTTAGTGGTGTTTTTAGGGAGCCCGTCGATTTGCATCACATGATTATTGATGGCTGCAAGGGTAGCCTTAATTAGAGCGGAAAAAGGCCAAATATATCCTTGTACTTTCGAAAAAGGTTTAAATATACTTTTCATTATACTATGAGTCTAAATATACCCCTTCCGTTATTCTTTGGGTTCAAATATATCCCTCATTTAAACGGAGGAACACGTGTTATCGTCTTGTTGGCCAATTTTAAATATCTCCTAATTAATTAAAAAGACTCATACCCATAACCATACCCATTATCCATTACCCATTACCCATACCCGAAAAATAAGCTTCAAAAGCTTTTCATCAATGGTTTCTATGATTAGAAATAATAAACAAATTGTGTTTCAAATTCCGTTAACTATTTCTAAAGCATACCTGTGGACTGTGGTTGTTTTAGATCAGTGCAAACGCCTTTCTAATCATAAAAGCCATTTTTTAATTTAAAATCCATCATTTAAAGCTTCTAATACACAATCTTTTACATATCTAATACTACTTGTAGTAAATTATTCATGAAATTTATACAAAATTAGAGTTATCTCGTTGAATCATTAATACAGTCATACAACATAACCTTCAACTATAGTAGCCTTATCGCTTCGTTCTTTTTCCTCCTTCTCTTTCACTTCCTTTTTCTTTCCGCCTTTGCCTCCAATCTCCAAGCCCTGCAACCCATCCACACACGCGCCTTCCGGCAGAGATAGCTCACTGACCAAATCTCTATTGTTCTCCTCATCCTTAACATCATCTATAACCACCACATTAGTTATTCGGGGAATAAGCATCGCATTTTGCATGCACAAGATTAACTTGAAGGAAGATACCAAACCATCTATTGAACATCAAAGGAGACTCAACGAAGCTATGCAAGACGTGGTAAAAAGGAGATTATCAAATGGTTAGATGTCGGGGTTGTCTACCCCATTTTCGATAGTTCGTGGACTTCTCCAGTGCAATGTGTCCCAAACTAGGGAGGCATGACAGTGGTCACCAATGATAAGAACGATTTGATTCCCACAAGAAAGGTGACCGGGTGAAGAGTGTGTATGGACTATCGCAAGCTTAACAAAGTCACGAGGAAGGATCAATTTCCACTTCCCTTCCTTGATCAAATGCTTGATAGGTTGGTCGTACGTGCTTTCTATTGCTTTCTAGATGGATATTCGGGCTACAACCAAATCCTTATTGCCCCGGAAGATCAAGAGAAAACAACTTTCACCTGTCCCTATGGTACTTTCGCTTTCAAGCGGATGCCAATTGGCTTATGCAATACACCGGTGACTTTTCAA